TTGTACTCTCTGAGCTAGGATGTTTGCTTTTCAAGACATTTCATTACCACTCTAGATAACAGTATCAATGCTGATGAATGCTCTGTTTGCTTTCTGCTTATATAGAGTAGCTTGCCTTGCCAATCTTGGCGGGGTGTGGGTTTTCCCCCCCTTTGTAGTTCCTTGAACAATCAAGCAGAGAACAATACCCTAATCAAAGAGAAAACCACAGCCCCCACACCAACCTTGGCAGGGCAACCTACTATATATAAGCAGGAAACAAACACAACACTCACCAACACTGATGATGTTACCTAGTCTGGTAATGAAATGTCTGCCATCAACAACCAAGCTCAGAGAGCACCAAAGACACCACAGAGAGAATTAGGGTGTCCTTCATTACACCAGTGATAAAGAGGCATTTCTCCTCTTATTTTAACACCATTCAAGGCCACTTAAAAGCCTGCCAAACTTGGAAGGGTTTCTTACTTTGGATGGAAGTTAAAGGACTAGCAGGAATAGTGACAAAGAAGGGAATTAATCCAGGCAAAAAAGGAACTACAGGTGGGATAGCCAATTTCAGCTGGCATCATTTTTTGCTAAGTCTAGGATGGGTGGATAGCTCTATAACTCAGAGGAAGCACTATGGGGGGAAACCTGTAAAAACTGAGGTTTTTTTTAGAGCATTACTATATCTTGCTGATGAATTGTGCAGCAATTACAAAGGCTCCCTCCCCACCAACCTCATAAATTGTTTCCCCCTTCTCGGTGTACTGTATAATGATGAGCAAATATTTGCAAATAGGCATAACCACAGCACCTACATGATTTGTTCAAGATCAGTGAGGAAGGAGAAGTTGACTCAGGTCTCGTTGGTTACCCATGTAAATCCAGTTTGTTAGAATGTTCAGAGTGTTTCCCAACTTTGGCAACTTTAAGACGTCTTAAAGTTGCCAAGTTGGAGAAACAACGGATCAGAGTACACCAGGGGTGAAGTGCTCTGAAGTCTGCTGTCGGTTGGCTTCACTACTGGTTTGCTTCACACGCATGTGCACCGCAGGCACTACCATGCAACGCTGGAAAAGGAGGATTAAGAAGCCTTTTCTGAGTCTGCAAAGGTAAGTAGAACAACGAGGGAGGGAACAGCTGTGCCGCACGATTTAGATTCGCTAGGAAGCAGGATTTCCTGCTTTCTATCAAATATAAATCGTGCGGCACAGCTGATTGTTGGAATGTAAAAAAAATGCTACTGGTTTGGGTGAATGGATAGCTCTGACGATCAGCTGTGCAACAATCAGCTGTGGCGCGTGATTTCTAATCGCGGCACAACTAATTGTCACACAGCTGATCGGCATTTTTTTTTTTACTACCGGTTCCGGCAAACCGGTAGCATTTCACCCCTGGAGTACACCACATGAGAAAGAGGAGGAAGGTGTCGAGAATGGGTAACTTTGGAAAGCTACGGAGGAGGAGAAGAAGAAATAAATTTGTGAAAGACTGTGAAATATCCATCAAAGCTGGTGATATAAGCTCCTAGGACAGTGTTTCTCAACATTGGCAACTTTAAGTCCTGTGGACTTCAACACCCAAAATCCCCCAAGCCAGCACTGGCTGGGGAATTCTGGGAGTTGAAGTCCACAGGACTTAAAGTTGCCAGGGTTGAAAAACACTGTCCTAGGAAGACCTCCAGTTCTTATTAGAAGAACAATATGTTTTGCTAAGGAACCCCCCTCTCCACAACTATTAAGAGCACAGCAGTGGTATTTCCAAGACTTTTTCTCAGCAAACTGCAAAAGGCAAAACAAATTATACCAAATACAAAACCCTTAAAAGCGACATTTGGCTTCTTCCCTGCAATTAAAGAACAATGAGCCAAGGCACATGACCAGTTGAGTTCCAATGTATTAAGCCTCTAAACAAACGTTCACGCCACTCCTCAGTTTTCAAACGGAGCATTATTGTTTTTCTTAGACATTTAGGAATATTATCTGGAAAGGAGAACATGACACGCTATGTATTTTATTAGTTTGCCGGATAGGTTGGGGAAGTGCTAGGAATTGGATTAGGGACGGTCGTTCCACATTTCAGTTTACATTATTATTATTTTTTCCAATCAGCAATATTAGGGGAAACTGGTTTGATGTGGCATCGGACTGCACTGCCAACTAGGCAGTAGACGTCAACAGTCATACATACACACCCCGCAATCAAGTCTATAAGCTTCCATTAAACCCAGTGAGATGCCTAGGTAAAGAACTGGTGAAGCATGGAGGAAAATAATAGTATTTTACCAGTAGGTACTAGAAAAACATGGCTTTTTCGAGATAAGAAAAATAAATATCCATGTTGTTTGACGGAGTGATTAAATAGAGAGGATTTGCATAATCAAAGTCATTATAAAGATTAAGCATGAACAATGCTTCCCTTTACAGTAATTGCTATTATTTCAGAGTTTGGCTATTCTAGCATTACTATGGAGATCACAAGTGAGCAAAGTTTCAGAAGGTAAGGAAAACACTTGCCCCTTTTATACAGGATGGGAAATGGAAGATGATATTCTATGGGAGAACAGGGATAGACAGACAGGAACAAAATCCCAACACTAAGCCTTTTTAAAACCCTATCAAAATGTTCCCCAAATTATAAGCAACATTTTACTTTAGGAAAATCTTGGGAAAACACTATGCCCACCACTATGCCAGGAATGTGCAGTACTTCAAATGCATTTCCTAAAATTGTCTTCAGAGCCCAGAGGGGCGGGAACAGAGGCTCTCTCTTCAAGGGATTAAAGCAGCTACCTTTTTCTGAGATTGAATAGCAGGTTCCTGGGAAAAGACACAGCTGCTTTAAAAAACTCAAAATGAAATGCTGGAGCTATGCTATGTGCTTTGAAGGGCCCTTTTGAAATCAAAATAGAAGTTAGGTACGCCCCTTTAATCTAACATTTGATCAATGATGGAAGGGGAAATATGATCCAGGGCAATATTTTTCAAACTTGGCAAGTTTTAACTGGCTAGGGAAGTTTATGCTGGCTAAGGAATTCAAGGAGTTGAATCTACACATCTTACAAATGGTCAAGTTTGAAAAACATTGCTCTGCAATCTGCGCACTGCTACACAAGGTGGCATGGAGGCTGCTTCTCGTAGACCCCAAATTTAGAAGGCCAATCGGAGAGCATGGCTGATAAAACTTTTATGTCTGCCATGTAACTACCACCTTTCGCTTCTGGAAAGTTTGGCATACCCTATAATTTTCAAGGAATTGGTCTTTTTCAGTGTCCTTAAACATGTAAAGAAAGAGGCAAATGGAACAACTTCATTCCACAATTGCTCTCTTAAATTCGAGCTTCACTTTGTACGACAGGCATGCAAGGTAGATGATTAGAGGCTTTGGATTACGTTCTAGGGAGATAGAAAGGCCGTCTTTACCTGCAACCTGGCATGTTTTATGGCAGCATGCATGTTTGCATGGGTGAGCATGCATGTTTGCTCTTTTTTTTNATTTGTGACCTTCCCAGGTCAGGGGGGGGGGGGGACCAGATTCACTTAACAACTGTGTTACTAATTTAACAACAGCAATGATTCACTTAGCAAATGTGGGAAGAAAACTCGTAAAATGGAGCAAAACTCACTTAATAAATTTCATGTTTAACAACATAAATTTTGGGGTCAATTTTGGTCGTATGTTGAGGACTACCTGTATAAAAGCTTTACTGCTGCCTTCTGCCCTTTATTTATCAATCTATTGACTTCTCAGTGTTCTGCATCTCTGAAATTTTTTGAAAACCCTTCTGCATGTCAAATCAAGAGCAGCCCTTTTAGCATTTTGAGCTACAATTGTCTTTGTGCTCTTTATCACTTAGCTGGATTTCTTGTACAATAAGGAAAACAACAACAATATTCACAGGTTGTTGGTTTTTTTTGCTAAACCTTGGGCGGAAAACTGACCCCAGCTGTCTAACAGTAAGCCCCTTCTTGCCTTCATGTCTGGGAATTATTCTACCATGCAGTTGTTAGGGGCACAGTACACTGTTAAGAAGAGGTTGGACTGCCATTTGTCAGAGATGGTGTAGGTAGGGTTGCCTGCTTGGGCGGGGGATTGGACTAGATCACCTACAGCAGGGGTCTCCAACCTCGGCAACTTTAAGCCTGGCGGACTTCAACTCCCAAATACCCCAGCCGACTGGCTGGAGAATTCTGGGAGTAAGTCCGCCAGGCTTAAAGTTGCTAAGGTTGGAGACCCCTCATCTACAGTACAGGATCCCTTCCGTTAATCTGTTTTTAAAAAAAACTACTGTGTTTTTTTTTGTGGGTGTGCGTGCGCGGGCGGGCGTACGCACACACACACACACACAGTAAAAGTGCAAAAACAAAACCTCGTTTTCAAGGGAGCAACACTTGCAATTTTCATTCTCTTTTGCTCCTCTTCCCTTCTTTCTTCCTCAGAGATCAGCCGTGAAGTGCAAAAAATATAACCTTACTGTAAAAGCTTCCTTACTGTAAAATCTCCCATTGCTTCAGAGCCGCCTAAACAGCCTCCCCAAAGCTCGCTCGGCTTCAGGCTATTGTAGACGGCATCCAGTGCTCTCCAGTCCGCATCCCCCCCCCCGCCGTCTCTTTCCGTCTTCCGCTTTTGAGGACCCCTAGTTTTACTATCGTCTCGCTTCGCTTTTCCTCAGATAAAAGTTCCCCGTACCACGCATATATATCCCCGGCGTATATAGTAAAGTATCCAAGCCTCGGCTGCGCACTTTTTCCGGTCGGGATGCCCTTCGGGGGCAACGACGGATCCGAGCGGCCTCAAGCCGCTTTTCTTCTTGCGGGGGGTGGGGGTGGCGAGCGGGGACTCGGTTGCTAGGGCCGCGACGTTGCTAAGGGAGAACGCGGTAGAATTGTCGCGCGCGCTCGGCCATCCTTCCTGTTTGGGTGGACAAAAAAGTCGGGCATTTCCGGGACGGGGAGTGGGGGCAGGTGGAAACGGAGCGGGGAGGAGGAACACGACGGAAGCGGCGGTTGCGAACGCCGGTGCAGCAATGGGGAGGCGAGCGAGGGAGTTGGGCTGCGTGGTGGATTTTCCCTTGGAACGAAGTGCAGGTGAGTGAATGAGCTGGAAGGAATTGGCTGGCAGAGAATCGGTGAGGGGAAATGGACGTGGGTCGTAATGAGAGCCAAGGTGGGTTTCATTGACACACGTGTCTGGAATCTCTTCCCAGCGCTCAGATGCTTTTAACCTTTGGGTGTATGAACTTATCAGGGGGGGAAAAAGGTCAATGCAACTACGAGGTAGTTGGTATTTGGCCACCGATATTGACATGCACCTGCATCCTTTTTGGAGCCCTAGGGCTAGGATTATTTTTTTGTCAAGATGCAGATTTTATTTTTTTTAATTTATTTTTTTTAATTTTCAGAAACTTATTTGGAAAAAGGAGACAAAATAAATCCTCCGGTGGTGGTGATAATGCTTGGATGGGCCGGCTGCAAGGACAGGTATCTAGAGAAATACAGCGCCATCTATCAACAGAAGGTGAATATTATTTTTTCCTATATAAATTCATCTTACAATTGCTATCTGTAAATGAAAGAACCATTCTTGGCCTATTCAGAAATCGACAAGGAAAAAAAACAATACCAGGTGTAGCATCTTCACTTTTCCCATAAAAGACCTATTCAGAATTTTTAAAGTATCAAACGAGAAATCAGTTTCTCCATGAAAATTCTATGTAAAAAAAAATAAAAAAAATCTAAGCTGGAATTTAACCTAGGGAGAGATGCTGGGAGGGTAGTTGAAGCACCTCTGTGACTGTAAGTACCCAAATTTTGATCATGTGACTGCAGAGGCACTGCAACAGGCATAGGCAAGGGGAGCTGTCATTAGTCCAGCTTTTTACCACCAACATAGGTAGGTACCGTATTTTTCGGGGTATAAGATGCACCTTTTCCCCCCAAAAAAGAGGGTGAAAATCTGGGTGAGTCTTATACACTGAATACAGCATTTTAGGCCTCCCGAAACCCTTCACAAAAATGGATGTGCAGAGGGTTTGGGAGGTCTGCAAAGTGCTCCTGGGGGCTGGGGAGGGCAAAAACGAGTGAAAAATGGCCCGTTTTTTGCTCTTTTTTGCACACACACACACCCAAGTCCCCAGGAGCACTTTGCAGGCCTCTCAAACTATCTGCATGCCCTGTTTTTCACAGAAAATGAGGCGTACAGAGGGTTTGGAAGGTCTGCAGAGTGTAAAACCTTTTTTAAAAAAAATTATCTCTTCAAAATCTTGGTGCATCTTATACTCCGGTACATCTTATACTCCAAAAAATATGGTACATATCCTGCATTTTATTCAGTAGCTCAAAGCAGCACATATAGAACTCTTCATCTTATTTTTCTGTGAGGGAAGAGAGGGTGAGAAAGATTGACTCGTTCAAGACAACCCAGTTAACTTTTGTATCTGAGGTGAAGAATAACCTGAATTTCCCACTCCTGGTTTGACATTTCGATCCTGTGCTATCTGAATGATTGTCTACTATGTTAACAACACAGCGATAGATTAAGCTATAAGCTATGACTACTTGCTTGAATTACTGACACTGAAAATAGTAATACTTAATTCTACTAAATATGAGTCCTGTTAACACATTTTGTCATTTAAAAAAAAAGGAAATTATAAACTCACAGTAAAACATGTGTATTCCTCACAGGGATGTGTAGTGATCCGGTATACAGCGCCATGGAGACATGTGTTCTTTTCAGAATCCTTGGGTATAAAATCCATGCAGACACTGGCTACAAAACTATTGGAGCTCCTTTTTGATTACAAAGTGGAGACGAAGCCTCTACTCTTTCATGTCTTCAGCAATGGCGGGTTCATGCTCTATCGTTACATTGTGGAACTTCTTCACACTCAACAGCAATTCCAGCATCTGAGGGTAGTGGGAACTGTTTTTGATAGTGCACCTGGCAAGAAGAACTTGAGGGGTGGGGTTCGTGCTCTCTCAGTTGTCTTAGCATCATACAATATGTGCATAAAGCACTTTCTTCTACTGTCATTTGCATTGCTGGTAGTGACATTGCGGATTGTGTTGTATCCTATGACCCGCTTTATACATGAAAGCCATTATGAAGCAATGTTGAACCAACCTTCTAAATGGCCTGAGCTCTATTTGTATTCCAAAGCTGATTCTGTCATCCTAGCAAGTGACATCGAGAACATGGTCCAGGCTCGACGACAGCATCGGGTCCTTGTTAAGACGGTCAACTTTGTACATTCTGATCATGTTAGCCATCTACGAGCATATCCTACCTCCTATGCTACTCACTGCATCTCCTTTATGCACAGTTGCATTGAAAGCACTTCTCACTAGTTTGGGCACTCTAAAGATATCAGCATATACCTCGTCTCTTGATTGACTTTATATATTAAATAATACTGCTGCTTCTGTAATTTGCCAAGGGTTTGAAGATTTTCTGAGAATCTGATATTAACTTGTTTGCACATATTTGCTCATTTAACTTAATTTCCAGACCAGATATTGGAGTCTTTCTGAGATGCATGGAAGTAAAGTTTCCTAAGTTTATCCTTGCCTAATTACCATGTTCAGTGTGATTATGTGGAGCTGTAGCATATAAACAGCACTGCGCCTATTTAATTCTCCTTTTATTAGCTTCTTCCTTTGCTGTATCTCTTTTTTTTGTCATTTTCATCTCAGATTTTTCTTGTACCTGGAAGAAATACTGTGAAGTTGGATTGTACAAATAGGAATTTATTGTCCATTGAAGTGTGTATGATACAAAATAAAATTAAAAGGATGAATCTGCTCCATTTAGTGCAGATCTCTTTTAAGAGGTATGGCATAAACTGCATGCACAAATTAAAACAATGTTGTAATTGCCTTATCCGTAGATGCATACCCTTTCAGAAATCTAACTCAGATTCAATAATAGTAGTTTGAAAAGTGGCAAATAATGTTCCTTTATTGTCCTATTTAGGTAGATAGGTGGGCAAAAGTAATTTTACAGCGACTTACTATGTTAACGTGTTCATGAGAGTGAGAAAGCTATAACAAGAAAATATTGATTAGAGTACTAGACATTCTGTTGTAGCTATAATAACATTAAATGATGGAGATATTCATCTTGGTGTCTATCTTTTTTTTCAAGTTTAAATGGCTGTTCAATTTGTATACTCTAATGTCACATGTCCTTTACTTCTAAGCATATGCTTTTGTGTCATTATCCATTAACTTATGGAAGTTTGTTCTTAGTTTATCTGTGCATTAAAAATGATCTTTCTGGGGGTTACTGGAATTATAATTCTAACACATTTAGAAGGTTTCAATAGGGTAAGAGGCTGAGATATAATGTTCTGTAATACTAACTTTATAACTTGGAAATAATAGTAATAAGATCTCAATTCTTAGTTGTATAGTAATCCCAACGAAATTAATGGGATTCCAGAATAATAATGTAAAGGTTTATAATCTTGTTTCTTTAACTCTTAACTGCAGGTCTGGCAAGATGAATTTTCATAGTAAATTAGGACATGCTTTATCTTTTTGATGGATTTCCTGCAGCTTATGCTGAACATAATAGATTTTGTCTCTTTTTCTACAATATTGTCAAAAATACTGCTGTTCTCTATAAATTTTAGTTTCTATGTTTTGTTTTTTTTTAGATTTTGGGGGTGGGGTGGTCTATGCACATCCGTGATGAATAATATGAAAAAAATAGGAAGATCTCTTTGTATTTTTATGCTTCATTTGTTTTAAAATAGTGATTATTAGTGCACTTCAACCACTTACTCCTGCATTCAGTGTCCCAACAGCTTGGTCCTAAATGCTAATTTTGTTTAAACTTACCTCCTGGTAATCGTGGAGAATTGCAGTTTCGTTCTGAAAATTACTGCATACAGTTGATTTGCATAAATGTATTCAAAGTAGTTTTCACTGAACCTAAACTACTTGTGCTATATTGCATCAGCATTTCTATTACATCAAATTATGTAATGTATAATTGGTATAGACTGTTTTTAGCACTGATCAAGCGTATGATGAGTTCTGCTGCCTCCCCTGTACATCACTTTAATTTAGAACTAGATGAACTGCATGCCTCAAGTGAGTTTGTTTTACTCTAAAGATTTGTATATTTAAAAAAATATTTCCCATTTATTGGCAAAGGAAATTAAAATATAAATAATAAAAATAAATTATATCAGACTAGAAGAATAAATGCAAAATTAATCAGAGTGAATAACCAGATAATCAGCAGTTCAAATCCTTAAGTGTTATATCTCTGTTAAAAAAATATGATAAAAAGAGGCTTACCTTGGCATCTGAACTGAATATTGTTTTTTAGTACGATTTAAATTGCAATATGAGATTTCTAAAAAATGAATATATACATACTGTCTTCTTCACTTTTTTGTGTAAAGGTGTGTAACTCTGACCTCTGAGGGCTGCCAACCATTGCATAGCAAGTTAATGCTTTATTTTATTTTATTCTTTAGGAGTAGGAGTAGAGTGGCTAGAGACAGATGGGCAGTATAATAAGGGAGGTAACAAGGATTATCCAGGGGTTGGGAGAAGCAGCAGCAGGGTGAGAAATGGTTTGACAGGAGGGGAAAATTCATACTGAAGAAATAGAGGGGATGGGGGGAAAGGTGACAAGGCTAGTAGTGATAAGGGGGGAGGGACAAATAGAAAGGATTGTTGGATATAGATCAAGAAAGCAAACAACTAGGAGGAGTCACAGGGAAGTTAGTGACCAGGGAAATGATTAGCAAAGTGACCTGGGAGGAGAGAAGGCTTGGGATGTGGGAAACTAAAGGCACATTTTAGACTGCATTGGATAACCAGAGAGTTTTTTTCAAGTTAATCTTTGTTCAGAGCTTACACTATGTAGGATATAATGTAAGTAAGTGCTGAGACTGAGAACGTGGAGCCCTATGTAGATACGCACATATTTCTATTCTTATTTTACAACTGGGCTTTGGTAGAAGCAGAAAGAATCAACCAATATGGACATATCTTTGCCAGAGTCATGTCTGCCAGTTTAGTAAAAAGATTGGCAGCAGGTACTTACTGTACATACAGTAATTTTTCCAAGAGCAAGTTTTACAATAAGGGAGTGATTATATTGGTTATTTCTTAGATATTTTCCTGAAAAAAGTATTTTGTTTTTATAAAAATACCTAATTTGTGGGGTAGCAGGGGGAATCAACTGATTCTTCTCTAGTCAAAATAGCAAAAGAGTTCCACTATAGTGCCTTTTTAATGGTAGCAGGTAAATGTTGCTCATCTAAATATTGGATTGTATTTTTCCAACTGAAGCAGTGTTGTATATTCAACCTAAAACGCTTGGCAGGCACAAGATAATAGAGTTACTGCGAGTCCATGCAGCACAAATTTACTTTGACGGTCTCCTGAGTAAAAAGGTAATTACTGGTATTCTATGTTTAAGTAATGGATGGATATCAGAAAAGATCACACAGTTCTTCTACCTAATATTTATTTCTGATACCGGATATCAAGGAAGTTTTTAACTCGAAATGAGATTAGAGGTCTGTTTATAAACCTATTTTTTCATTAGTTGGATAAATCATTCACTTTAATGTGGATGTAAGAAAATATTTTTGCAGTTAAGCACAATGTAACGAAATTATAATAAGCTGAAAAAGCATAAAATGCAAAAATAACATTTATAGTAGACCAGAAATTTCTATTCCTGATTTAATTTCATTAACATATGGTGTCCTATTTTGTAAATTCTACAAATTGGGATACTTTTTACTGATGTAAAAAGTAGCAATAATTTGGTCAAGTTAAATAAGGGTCTTAGTTCTGCTTTTACTTCTTTCTTTACCTAGATATAAGAATTCCAGAAAGTGTTCTTAGCTGCTAAATTTAACCTATCATCAGTTTCATTGCAAATGCAAATTTTTACTCATGAAAAACTCACATCATGAGATAATCAGAATGAGGCCCCTCCTGAAGAAACCGTCTTTGGATCCAGCAGTTCTTAATAACTACCGTCCAGTCTCCAACCTCCCCTTTGTGGGGAAGGTTGTTGAGAAGGTGGTGGCCTTACAGCTAAGAACAC